AAAAAATGACCTTGACCTTCAAATAACCTTGAAAATCGACCTGAAGGTCAAAATCATTAGCACAGATAAATGACCCCCATTGTCCTGAACAAGTTTTGTCTGAACTATTTTTCTGTATCTGCCTTACTGACGGAGAAATTTGGGTGGGTCCCGTAAAATGGCCCACCGTGTATATATACATGTATATATATATATATATATAATTCACATTGAATTATTTAAAAGCATTAAAGATTTAGCTTTGACCGGTATAGGCTGTTGAATTTCTGTTATTAATTGTTTCTCTTCTAAGTTATTATGCAGTACTGTCTTTCATAGTAGAATGCTTTTGACTCTATTGTTTATTGTCTCAAAAATGAATTCAAAAGGGTAATCATTATGTAATAATATTTCAATTATCATTGTTAAATTTTTTTTAATGAAATTCTGAGTTTGAGAGTAGAAGAGCTCGGTCTACTAAACTAAAGATTATTCCTCTCTTTTGCAAAAGAGGATGGTTTGAGAAAAAATTTAGAAATCTCCTCGAAAAGGTCGGTTTGTGGTACCAATCAAAATTTAATTGCTTATCAATAATTATAATTGTGATATCTAAAAAGTTTAGTGAGTTATGACCTATTTCTAACGTGAATTGAAAAAAGACGAGAATGGAAAGAATTGAAGCATTCTCGTCTTTCTTCAATTTATGTTAGAAATAGGCAAGATTGGCAACGTTACCTCAAAATAACTCGTTACCGTTACCGTTCTTTTTCCTAAAAAATAGGAAGTTTTTACAATAGGGTTGAAATAGGGTTTATCCAGATACAAACTGATTTTTTTCAAAGGGGTGTTTCTAAGGCACTATAGATGGGAGTATTTCTATCCGCCATTTTCGTGCCAAATCAGTACCACTACAGCGTGTTACTACAGCGAGTGTTAAAATGCTGATCGAAAGTCGCATTTAATCCAAAAAGTATGTATTTTTCCATTTAAAAAAAAAGACATTCACACAAACACGAAAATAATCAATTTCTGTGTCAGAATAGAAATTAATTATTTTCGTGTTTGTGTGAATGTCTTTTCTTTCTTTAACTTTCTTATAACTTTCGATTAGCATTGTAACACTCGCTGTAGTGGCACTGATTTGGCACGAAAATGGCGGATAGAAATACCTATATCTTTAGTGCTCTAGTGTTTCACCCCTTAAAAGTGCGTATGAGTATGTATAAAAAAATATGTGTCGCGCTTATTTTTGTCTGGAGAACAACATACTAAAACTCATCAAAATCGGAATGTAACACTTGGATATGTTTACTTTTTTTTGTTATATTGACTCTTATGTGCTCTGTATACTCTCGATTTTCAAATTAAGGACGTTCTCCGAAAAATCCATTTTCTTTAGATTTTTCTGAAACTTACAGAAAAAGCTTGTTTTAGTGTCCTGAACATGTGCTTTAAAACTCAATACCCGGAGCGGAATCATTTTTACGCTTCTGCACATAAGGGGTGGAGCGAAAGAGCGGAGTAGTACTCAACTAATATTTTCTGTGTATGGGGGCGACTACATGCACGCGAGTAAACTTTAGGTTGAGCACAAACGCAAAAATGATCCCGCTCCAGGTATTGAGTTTTAAAGCACATGTTTAGGACACTAAAACAAGCTTTGCTAAAAATTCAGAAAAGGGGAGTCACCTCCGATGACCTTGACCTTGACATATGCTGTTAAGGTCGTGACCCTGAATGACCTCCACCAGGTTTTAGCCGTCGGTCATCATTCGTTAAAAAGTTATTAACAATTAAAGTTAGTTTACCCAAGTTTTTTCCGTAAGTTTCAGAAAAATCTAAAGAAAATGGATTTTTCGGAGAACGTCCTTAAGAATTCTTCCGTTCTTGTAAAAACTTATATATTATTTTGATTTCAGCATGAAGTTCCACCAACAAATGAATTTAAGATCAATATGAAATTGGAAGCATTAGATCCACGAAACGTGACATCAACTTGTATCGCCACAGTAGTAGGTGTTCTTGGACCACGATTAAGATTAAGATTAGATGGCTCCGATAACAAGAATGATTTCTGGCGGTTGGTCGATAGTAACGAAATACATCCGATAGGCCACTGTGAGAAATCTGGTGGGATGCTTCAGCCGCCACTAGGCTTCCGGATGAATGCTTCCAGTTGGCCAATGTTCCTCCTAAAAACTTTAAATGGTGCTGAAATGGCACCAGCTAAAGTATTCAAACGTGAACCAAAGACGCCACGCTCTAATTTGTTTGAGGTCGGACACAAATTAGAAGCAATCGATAAAAAGAATCCACAGCTTATATGCACTGCAACCGTTGGCGCAATTAATGACGAATTGATACATATTACGTTTGATGGTTGGCGCGGTGCTTTTGATTACTGGTGTCGTTATGATTCTCGAGAAATTTTCCCTGCGGGGTGGTGCTTCAAAAGTGGACATCCATTGCAGCCTCCAAGACAAAAATGTATATATGAATAAATATTTTATAATTTCTAAAGTAACTAGTTACTTTATAAATTCATTAATGCATATATCTCTTAATCTCTTATCTTGTTTACAGTATTTAAATATTTGTAATTCACATTTTTAACGTATTTAATTTTAATCTTATAGCAGGTTCAAACAAGGGATTTAGAGGATCTAAAGCCAACAGTAATGTTTTTCTTGTAATGGCGGTTGGCCCTGGAAATAGCAATAACAGAGATTCTGCAGTTGCATTAGTAACACCTGCAGGCTCAAGTGCACCATTACAGCCAGCTACGGAACCTGACACTAGCACAGTCAATACTAAACCGCTTGAAAACGGTCAGTAAATTATGATTCCATAGTCCGTTCTTAATCTCAAGACCATCTCAAGCAATATTCTTAAGATGCTAATACGGCTTTCTGATTGGTTCATGACATCTCGAGTACTAGCTTAAGACCATGTCGAATCTTGAGCAACGTCTATGGATTTCGTCCTATATCAGGGTATGGACACTGCTATGAAAAGTCAAACCCTAGTTCTGTGCCATTTGGACGAATAAGCAGAGTTTCGGGAACTACAAACTTCAGCATTCCTACTTGATCGATACTGTCAACACGATTATTGTTCAGGGCCCCTATTCTCGAAAAGCATCGCATACGAAACACTAGGGAAAAATACTATAGTATACGTTATATATACTATAGCATTTCCCTAATTTTACGTATGCAATACTTTTCAAGATTAGGGGCCCAAGGCCCTTAGGGCGACTGTTACCAACGCCGATTAACTTAATCGGCTGATTAGTCCATTGGAATTGACCAATCGCATTTGTCATTTTGTTTGACGATAGATGGCGATTGGCCAATTCCAATGGACTAATCGGTCGATTAAGTTAATCGAAGTTGGTAACAGTCGCCCTTATTGGCCCTTATTCTTGATTGCGTTCATAAACATCATCCGAGTGTATCAGCTTATCTTTATTTAACATTGGGTGAACAACAAGGATAAAACGATATACAGGGGCACTCAGGTAATGTTTCTGAGGGCGACTGTTACCAACTCCGATTAACTTAATCGACCGATTAGTCCATTGGAATTGGCCAATCGCCATCTGTCGTCAAACAAAATGACAAATGCGATTGATCAATTC